CGGATTGTTGTTAGTAGAGGCACACATTGAGGTGATTGGTAAATAGGCGCTCATAAAGCGGTTATGGGACTCGCTTGTCCCGCTCGAATCCCGTCAGCAGCCGATCTAAATCGGCAAGACCACGATCTGCAGATCAAGGGTTAGAAATTTGGGCTTTTAATCAAGAGGCAACGAGCTCAAACCTAGAGGGGAACATCACCTAGGGTGGTGTTGGTGGTAGTGTTAATTGAAACATAAAGGCAATCGCGATTGCATTAACGACTGCCCGGTAACAAGACGAATGATTTCTAGCGAGTTGATGATATAACTACAGTAGCTGATAGGTAGTCAAACTTTGCGCCTGCCTTAGGTATCATCCCTTAGGAATAGCTCATCCTCTGAACGTTCCTTCTGCATTCGATCCACCTTTGGATAACAATCTACTTTACTATCGCTGCCAACTTTAAAATGCTTTAACGCCCTCTAACGCTTTCTTTGTGGTTCAGACACAAACTTTCGGGTGGTAAAATTGATTTTTGGTAGGGCTAAGTCGTAGGGCCGCGCAATGCCAAAAGTCTACCGGCCGAATTGTGTGTGATGGAATTCGTGGTTAAATGTTTAATGCGTGTCTAATGCGTGATAAGTGCGCACTAGGAAATAAGTTATAGCCGCGTGTAATTGTTTTGCTGAACTAAAAGTACAGGTGAAAATCATGCAAACAGAACAAAAGAGGCGAAGAGAAAGTCTTATTGGTAAACAAAGGAAGCCTATAGACCAAGGAAAGCTAAAATAACACTCTTATTGGTTAACAACACCTGCCTTGAGACGAATAACACTAGTAAAAATAACTTTTTTCGGCGTTCAGTTCAGTTCAATGGGCGGCCCTACGATTTACTCCTATCAGATTTCTCTTAGTCAATATCAACCTCTGCCGTGAAACAGCTGCATTGCCAAAAAACTTCCTGATTGTAACCTTCAATGTGGCTCTTAGCAAAGTTGAGAATATTGGTCGATGAAAACTAATTGTGCAGCAATATTTTCAAAATGTTTCAGTCCATATCTCAATACAACTTGTGCGTTCTTCGATAAAACAAGCGATCTACTGACACATGCGCGTATTTTTTAAAAACATACCCTTTTTTGCTGTAAAATGCTTGTCCAGGGCATGCTCCCGGACAAGGTCTACTCTATCAAATTTCAGTGCAATGTGGATCTGATCAAAGGGCTCCACCGATGTCTTGATAAGGGCGTAGAGAATAACGCTGTCTAAGTCGGTAGACTGTCCCAGATCAACTCTGTTCAGGAGATTCGGATGCTGTACAATCTGACGCAACAGCTCCAATCCCGGCTCCAGACTTCGTGCCTTCTCTTTATCCATGAGGCCTTGCAGTAATCTTTCCAGTTGCTTCTTCTGCACCGGTGTGAAATCTTCAAACCTGCAACAGAAAGTCCACCAAAGTTTAAAAGACAGGAAGGCATAAGACGGTATAGAAAACTACTGAATAGGTATTTCAGTCTGTTGACCCAATTTGGCCATTTTTTATCGTCACGACAGTCCAGCTGTAAAGCAGATTTGCAAAGGTCTAGTTAATACCTTCTTAGACGCCTGCTTAATAGATTAAAATTTCCCACATGCACGACCAGGCCGCATTGTAGCTTGCCACTTGCTGGCTTCAGCATGTATGGTAACTAGAACTAGCAGCTATAGCATAGGCACAGCACTTCAAACAGTAGTATCCTGGCCCTAGTAGTTTAAACTTTAGAAAATAACCAGGGCAAGCACTGGTGTGCTCCAAGGTTCAAACACCTACTCTACTGGGAGTAGCGAAAATCCTGGTCCCCGGTCTTCTGTGAAATCAAGGGAACACAGGCCCAGACTTGACTCTAATTAGTGTCATTTCTGACCAAATATTAATGTCAGTACTAGTACCAGCGCTAAAAGTACTCAGACACACTGCTAGAGGCAGCAGTATAAACAGTAGCCGCAGTAGTAGAAATATGAGACTAGGGCTCCTCGAATTTTGATGGGCACCTACAGTAGGTGAATGAGGATCAATAATGCGGTAGTACCAGCGCAAAAGGATAATGTCACTTAATACTAAGTTAGGCGGCGTTTCTGGCCGAATTGGAAAAAGCAGCTTTCTCCCAATCCCTGCTCAGTTATCTCAATGTTATCTTGTCACCAGTTCAAGCGGAAGAGGGTTTAGAGTGGGCTAGATGGCAGTGCGTCTATTTTCACTATACCTGACCGCAGTCACCGTCCCTGCTCTCAGGCATATGGGGGAAATCATCGATTGCGGTGATCGAACTGACAGCCTAAAAGATGCACTTAGACCGACTACCTCGTGCTTCAAATGAAATTTACAATGGATTTACAGTAACGTCCAGGATACAGACAGTAGATTTCGCATCTCATGTAATGTCTGCTGAAATTCTGAAGTACGCTTTCGATTCGAACAAGATACATAAGTGGGGGTTGCAGTCCTGTTTATCGTGGAACATAATCCGAAGATATGTTAGCTACGGTAGAGTACCGAGTTTTGAAAGACTGTCGGCTGCAAAGCGCATACTCTCTTAAACATAGCTGCTTAAGTAGAATGTATTTTCCTTTTAGTGTTTGATGTCCGTTTTATGTTGTAGAAAACGTGTATTGAACTCAGTTGTCAATCCAATCAAAATGTAACGACTTGTGTGTGGCAATTCAAGGGTGCAAACACTGACTGATTAACATCGTGACATCCTTTCTAGAGTGCAAATCTCATGGCAAATTTAGAGTGTTATTTCTCAGAAATCAATATAATTATCAGGCTGACGTGTTGTTTTTACAGGACTTGACTACGTTTCAGGTGTTTTACTATGCACTTCTGCCTGGTTAGACGTTCGAAATGACCGAAACATAATAAGAACAGAGTTATCAGGGAGCTCTCGGTCGATATGCTAGATACAGTGGACTGGGGGTTATCAACTGACTGAAAAAAATTAGTTCCCGAGTTTGGCATTGTGTGTGAGAGAGAGTAAGGCTTAATAGCTCCTTCTGAAGAGGGCTTCGGTGACAGTTCCACTCAAATAGAGCACCGTTCACGTTCCTATTGAAATCGTTTTTTGTCAGCGAAAACATTCGAGCTTCCGTCTGGTTATTTTGCAAATGGGGTAATTATGCGCACGGGTGAACATTCCGGCCAAAGATAAGGGAGACTAGAATGACCATTTCTGCCTTATTCACCATCATCAGCCACCCAAGGGACGAACCCGCGACTTCTGATTGGAAGTCAGGCGCTCTAACCATTGTGTTGCAGGCTCCTTGTCGGTTTTGGTCGGAAGTAGTAACTTTGGCAGGTGAACGCTCACGATCGGTCACGGGGCTTATTCCTTCCGTTCTGCCTTGCGGATCATCCCCGAGCCCGTCTAGCAGCCGTACGGCGAGCAGTATTTTAGGCAGATGAACACTGCCGAAAAAAACACTAGAGAAACTGGAATGGCCATTTCTGGCTAATTAGCTATCATCAGCCAGCCATACACCCAGCTCCACGTGGCACACCAACTGAGGCTGGAACACGCATGCACAATCCCCCCCTTTATGCCAACCATGCTCTGCTATACACACTAGGAAAACGTTACTAACTACAGACAAATACCTGCTAACGGTGCGATTGAATTCGCTAAACAGTTTCAAATGACTGCCCCAGGACCAAATAAGTGACTTGCAACAGCTAATATAATCCGTCACATATTCTTTAATCATGAATTTATGTTTGTGCAGCAACAAGCTATACGTTCACGTTGGAAGCCATTTTGAGTAAGTTAAAATACAAACAAGGACTGACCCCGGTTCCTGTCCACGGAATCGAATAGCTGCATCGAGGAGGTTTGCTGCTCTTCCAGTACCCGAGCAGACGACAATTGAAATATTGTGCTCCACACTATACCCTGCCAGCACCAGAACATCGTAGCCACCTTCAATGATAATTTGGACGACTGGGATACCAAGACCTCCTTCTAAAAGGTCAACAAAAGCAAAACATTTATTATTATCAACTTCTATTTATCCAGTACTGTGCCAAAAACGGAAAAGATCCGAGTGGCTGCTTACAGATGGGATGCACGATTATGATGTTATAATTTACCATACTAGAGACACAGGTACTATTTAGAGCTCTGACATGTGTTTCGCTGGTATTTCCCAGCTGCTTGAGAGAGCTGCGAAGGGTCCGGCTCATCAGTGGGTCCCTAAAATTTTCCACTTTGCGTTCTGGATGATGTATCGGTTTTTGAAAGTCGACTTTTTGACTCCCTTAGAAATTGTTTTTGTTTTCGATACATGCTACTGTCTGACCGTTGATGACAATTGTCTCGCAGTGGCTGATGGCGTTCGGCCAAAATAGATGCAACAAATTTTGGTCTATGCCAATAGACCTTGAGTATACCAGCTTGCATCGCCGTTGACAAATGGCATCAGTACTAGCGACACTTCTAGTTGAGACTGAGGGGACATGAACCCCGTGCTGACTCT